GATGGACAAGAAAAGTACCCTTAGTTATGGAGGTAATAGGGACAGGAAATAGACCTGTGATTTCATTGGTTTATAGACCAACATGAGATAATCTTTCATTCTCAGTTTTATTAGCAGTAATTTATCTGTATTTAATATCTATTTTATTATATTATTTATTATCTTTGCTGCCAGCAATGATTAACTTATATTTTATCCATAAACCACTTTTTAAAACAATAACAAACAAAATAATTATAAAAGCTGACTTGAATACTAAGTGGAATGCCACGAACTTTGTAAAGGTTATTGATGTGTACATAGAAACTTCCCTGTGGAGCAGCTACCATATGTTAAATTAATTAATCATTTCTCAAGTTGAAGAAACTGACCCTCAGAAAGCTGAAGTGACTTGCCCAATATATTGAATACTAGCTACTATATTATGTATTAAATATGAGTCACTGTATTGTGATGCTTTTCCCTACCATCTTCTCCAGGACTCTGCATACATGATTCTGGCTATTCCTCCACCCTTACCCTCTAATGTGCCAGCCCTAAACCAGGGCTCATCTTGCACTGACCTACTATGAATGAACATGGACATAGTGATGTGCTGGGAAACCTAATGCTTTTTGACTGTAGCTTCCATCCCTGACTCTGGAATCAGACTCAGGCTGAAGGAGAAAAATGGATATTGTTGCCGGCGGGGAGGTTGAGAGGTTGTGACCCTTCAAAGACTGAAGTACATGGGTCATCTGGAATGAATTCACAGACTCAAGCATTCTTTAAGCCAAGGTGGCAAAGTTTATTGCTATGCTTTTCAGCGGGCAAGGATTCTTAAAGGATCCTGCAAACTTAGAGAGGTACAGTTAAAGTTTATATAGGATAAAATACAATAAAACATGTGCCAAATATGCTAACGAGGGGATTCAGGGTGAGATTAGGGAGTGGTTAAGGAGTGGTCAGTTCTTAAAAGAACATGCACTTCTTGTACCTACTGCGCAGGCGTTTTACCCCAGAGTTCACTAGGAAAAGCCCACAAGGGGGGCCACATGGAAGTGTGGTTTTAGGCCTGCTGTGTCACTAAGTCCACCAGAGTTCAGGGTAACTGAGAGTTGTCCTGTCTGCCACCAATCAATGTCTTGTTAGACATGATAGATGTAGGGAGTATACATATGTCTTAAGTCTAGAATACAGTTAATGAGGAGCCCAGGATGTAGATAATGAGGTAGGGCAGTAGGATAGTATAGTAGCGGGTAAGAATGTCTTTATGACCCAGTGCAAAGCCAGTTTAAGCTAATAAATCCTTCAGGTGCTGTTTGGAACTGCACCAGGGAGAGAGATAAGGGTCTTGCTGGGGCCCACTCTTGAGTAATTGCTAGGCACGGTGTCCTTGGGCTAGGGAGAAACTGTCAGGGACAGTGTTTCTGAGGCTAGGGAGAAATTGGGGTCCAAGTACAAGCACCCAAGCATAAGCATCCAAGCATCACATCAGATACCACCTGAGGGTGAAGGGTGGGGAGAGAATTGGAGGCAGTGGAGCAGAATGCCTTGGTCCAGCAGGAAATTCAGGTTGAGAAAGAGAAGTTTAGGACACAACAATGAGGGCTCTGGAAGAATTAAGCCTCTTTCTTGACTCCAGAGGTTGAAGCAGACAGACTCTCATAGCAGCAAATCATGCAAATCAACCCCAGGCAATTGTTTCAGCCTGAGCCAGGCTCCTAGATCCCTTATCAAGGGTGCTCCAGCCCTTTGACCTACTTTCCTGGGGGCAGTATTTTGGGCACAGTTCTGCCCTTACCTGATTGCACCTTCTTGCTACTCAAGCCAGAACTCAGTACTCTGGTGCAAGAAAGAGGAGGCATAGTATGAATGGCAGTCATATGGGCAGAAATTGAGTTTCCCATCAGTTGGGAAATGGCTAAATAAAATGTGGCATATGATTTTACTACAATATTATTATGCTGGACCAATTTGTAAATTTAATGAACACAGACAAACCTAGAATATTTTAGATGATTTGATTCAGAGCAAGTAAACAAAGCCAAAAATCAATATACAGAATGAAGAAAAGAAATAAAAATAGATAGAAAAACTACAAAACAATTAAAAAGGCCCTTGGTAAAATCACAAAGAACAAAGATGACTCCAAAGAATGGATATGAGAATATACACTCCCAACCTATTGCTTTACAAAGGACAGGGGTCAAGGGATGTGGTACACTGCATTTCTTTTGGACTCTTGATGTATTGAACAGTTTCTATAAGCATTTCTCTTCTAAAAAAATATAATTTGTTCTGTATGATGTCTCTGTGAGGGGAAGAATGAAAGCAGGCAATATGGGAAAGTCTGGTGATATAAAAAGAAGAAATTGTAATTTTAAAATATATTTTAAAAATTCCAGCAGTGAGATTTCATAAATCCTAGGACGTTTGTGAGGTATAATATGGACAATACCATTGACACTGAAATCCCCCATAGAGACATCCTAGTGAGCTATGACCCTGTCCCATAAGTTCATGTTCCATTTTCCTTGTTCTAAACTGCAACCCAGGACTGACAATATTGAAGAGACCTGGAGATGTCCTTCAAAGAGTTACTCATTATATGGACAAAATGCTTTATATTTTTTTTCATCAATTTCCCATCCATTATGTCATTGGATCCTGATGTAGTAGGTTATAGCAGAGTATGTGAAACTGAGGCACAGAGACTTTAGGGTATTTGCCCAAGGCCACATAGTAAAAGCAGGACCTTAGCAAGTAAAACCACATCTAAGTGTCTTTGGGTAATTATTCAGGGGCTTTACACAAAGTCTAATTGTGTGTGTCAAGAGGCAGCTTCAGAAAAGAAAGAAAATAGAATCTCTTGAATAATCAATGAAAGATTAGCATATACGTCAATAAGGATGTGATTGAAAACTGAGTTGTTAGAGCTGGCAGGGTATAGAAAGTTGTTGCGTTCTTCTCAATCACCAAGAAGGCATCCTAGAAGGGTTTCCTGAAAGATTCCATTGAACCAAAATTTGGAGATAGCTAAATCACTTAGGCTAAGTGGCTTGATAATCACTGTATTGTAGCCAGCATGTTGCTCTCACTGCCCTCTGGCCATTCAGGCATAATCTCTTCAGACTAGGCTTGTCTGTAATTCACCTGCAATACAGAGACATCAATATAGGGATATTAGTAATGTACCTCCCATGGTCTTAGCTTTGGTCTCTTTATCTGTCATCCCACCTAGGTGGGATGAAATATGTGTAGCATCGAGATATCTCCCTTGTCCCAAAACAAGCATTAACTTTCCCTCTTTTCTTCATAAGCCATGATCAGAAGGACAAGGAGGGAGGGAAGGAAAGACAGGAAAGTGTGTATGTTGTATATTGACCTCCTACCATAACATATGTTACATAGTCGTTCCTTGATCAATTCTTGATATATTGCCTAGTGCCAATGGAGTATCTGAAACAGTAACCAATTCCTTATATTGAGTTTATTTTAAAATTTTAATAAAACAATAAAAATTAAGAATTCTCCTCCCTCTAAATTTAAAGATGGTGGCAGATGGTGTCTTAGTATCCACTCCTCTGTTGTAATTTCTAAGAGAAAAATGTCACTTCCCATGAAATTGCTCATTAAGTTTTCCTCTTAAGTACTGATATTAATACTTGTAGAATCAACTACAGATTAATAATTTTATTGTGACAGCTTCCTCCATTTGAAGGATGAAATGTTGCTACATCTAAAAATTACATATTCTCCCCTTGGCAGCCACAAAACCTTGATATATGTCTGAAAAAAATGTCTCCCTTCATGACTCTTTTATACCTCCTAACCTAGCTTAAATCTCTCATTTCTTTTCTCTATCATCTGTACTATAAACTTTATCTCAACTTTTCTCTGTCCTCTCCATCAAATATTTAAATGAACATCTCCTCCTGATTACTGTTAGTGGAGGAGAATTCAAATACTGCATTCATGGACAACCTCTGTACATAATTTAAATGGGAGAGTTCAGGGAATTTCTGGTATTGAAGGGATTTAGAAGAGAAAAATGGTAATTGCCTAATATGAGGACTTATAGAGGGAAAACAAGTTATCATAACATGCATGGAAATTTTTTTTGGAATGGGTTAATGAGTTAAATTTTCATTGATTCCTAGGAAACAATTTCATCAATTCCTTAAGAAAAATGGCATTATTCTACAGCTGAATATAAGAATGAATTTGAATAAAGGGGCACATAAGAGATGGCTCACAAGTTGGGGAAATGAATTCAGTCCCTTCTATGTAGTTTCCTGGAGGAATATTCAGTCAAGGAAATGAGTCCAAAGGAAGAAAGTTTATATACATAGTACATACTGAAGGGTCAAGTTTACAGGGCTTTTGAAGTCAAAATAGAGAATAACTGGATCATATATGATATGAGTTTAATGTTTCCCTTCAAATGGAAACCTTCAAAAAATTGTTCTCAACAAAAGGTATTTAATGCTCACATTTGCAAACCAAATTATTATTACCCCATCACAGTAGTAAATTCATGTAATTGGGATAATTTAGATTTGTGTTCTTAATACTATCTTCCCATAATTGTTCAATTGAAAGACGTGTTTCCACACAGGAACTCTGATGAATATGAATCTTTGACTTCTGATTGAATCCTTTTCCACAAAAGTCACATGAAAAGACCTTCTCTCATGTGTGAACTCTATGATGATTACTAAGAGATAACAGTTTATAGAATCCCTTAACACATGCATCACAAAAATACAACTTCTCTCCTGTATGGATTCTTCTATTTATTCTCCATGGAGATTTTTTTTTAACATAATCCCTTTCCAGAGTCTTCATGTATATAGGGCTTCTCTCCTGCATAATCTCTTTTGAATGTAAAATGCAAACTCGTGGCAGAATCCTTTCCCACATTCATGACATACTTATGGTTTCTCTTCTTTCTGCACCATCTGATCATCATGTAGATTAGTATTATGCCTGAAAGTCTTTCCACAGTCACCATCTATCTACGGTTTCTCTCCTGCATTGACTCTGTGATGAGCAACTAGATTTTTTTTATGCCTGCAACTCTTCCCACACTCATCACATGAATATGGTTTCTTTCTTGTATGCACTCTGTGATGAGAGATGAGAGTTCTCTTCTGACTGAAACTCTTCCCACACTCATCACAAAGGTATGGTTTCTCTCCTGTATGCATTCGGTGATGAGTAATTAGATGTATCTTCTGACTGAAACTCTTCCCACACTCATCACAAAGGTATGGTTTCTCTCCTGTATGCATTCGGTGATGAGTAATTAGATGTATCTTCTGACTGAAACTCTTCCCACACTCATCACATACGTATGGTTTCTCTCCAGTATGGACTCTGTGATGAGTAATTAGATGTATCTTCTGACTGAAACTCTTCCCACACTCATCACAAATGCATGGTTTCTCTCCTTTATGTACTCTGCAATGAAAAAATAAACTTGCCTTTTGACTGAAACCCTTCCCACACTCACCACATACATATGGTTTCTCTCCAGTATGGACTCTGTGATGAGTAATTAGATGTATCTTCTGACTGAAACTCTTCCCACACTCATCACAAATGTATGGTTTCTCTCCTTTATGTACTCTGCAATGAAAAAATAAACTTGCCTTTTGACTGAAACTCTTCCCACACTCACCACATATGTATGGTTTCTCTCCTGTATGGACTCCATGATGAACTAGATTTTTTTTATGCCTGAAACTCTTCCCACACTCATCACAAATGTATGGTTTCTCTCCTGTATGGATTCCGTAATGATTAATAAATGGTTCTTCTGACTGAAACTTTTCCTACATACATCACATATATATGGTTTTTCTCCTGTGTGGACTCTCTGATGAATAAGTAGACTTTTCTTCCAACTGAAACTCTTCCCACACTTATCACATATGTAAAGCTTATCTTCAGTGGAGAATATTTGATTAATATCCAGGTTTGAGGTATAATTGAGCCTTTTCCCATAATTGTCATGCTTATTAGTTCTCTCTACTTTGTGGTTTCTTATGTTCATGAAGTTGGAATTAGTGAAGGAAATACTTTTCAAAGATTGAATATTTTTATTTTTAGACCATGAGATTTCTTGAGCAGATAAGCCAATGTGATTTCCAAATGGACAATTGCTTATCATCTCCATACCCATAGCTTTTAGAGTCACAGCATCACTCTGTTGCTTATTGTAGCAGATTTCCTTTTCCTTGCACTCTTCAGAAGCATATTGTACCAAGTGAGACATGGGTTGCCTAATCTTCTGCTCAGAACCAGTTTCCATGGTTGTAGGTTTTCTTCATTTTAAGCTTTCATTCATATTGACTCCCTACTGATTTTCATGAGGGACAACACTTCCACAGGCTTACCAAGGTTCATCTTGAAAGTCCACTTGTCTTGAAATTTCCTTTGAAGATATGACTAATTTTTAGTGAACCTGGAAATATTATTGGATATATTTTCCCAAAATTGCAAGCAGAGGTCTATCAACTCTAGATCTCTAGACACTTCCCTTAAATATTCATCAAATCATTCTGAGGCATAGAATTAGTAATGGCTACTGTTCCATAACATTATATTTCCAGGTCCCAGAAGCTGCTTCTTGGAGAACAACCTATTTGTTGAGATTTCCAAGTATTTTAATGTATTCTCTTTCTCTTCCTTGATGATCTATATTTTAGAACGTATCCACTTGATTAATCCTCTTGTGTATCACATCCACTTTCCTAAAATGAAAGCAAATAAAGTGTCAACTAGCAATGGTGATTTTCAGTTACTTCTAAGTAACCTATTCAGTCTTCTGAGGTAGAATGACAGGGATAAGAAAATCAATAATTACTGATCTAATTCACTTGCATAATTAACATGTACTTATTGTATTCAGTGAATACTGAATGCTAGAATTGATCAAAAAATAAATACGTGCCCTAAAACCATAATTATAAAACTAATTATGGTATATAAATAACTGTAGCCCATAACTCTAAGTATAATATAGAAAGGAAAGAAATATATAAGACAAATTGATAAAAGTTATTATACTTTTTAAATAAAGAAATTATTTCTAGTGAATGAAAATAGCAGCAAAGTCACTTTCTAAGAGGTGATGTTTGATATGGGACATGTATTTTTTGGGCATAAGGATAGTTGTAAGATCTTGTATTTTAAATATCATTGAGCAAATACAAGGTTTTCACACCAGAACTAGTGATAAAAGAGTCTTTCAGTATATAAGCTTCAAGATGGAAATGAAATTGTACCTTTTTGTATTCAGGCACCTAAACCAGCATCTTGCATTCAGGAAATGATTACTAAATGTTGGTTGAATTAAATTGAAAAAAATGTTCACATGTTAAGTAATGTAATCATGAATATTTTAGAATCTACAAGAAAGTGGGAGGACAAAGAAGAAGCCTGCGAGAGACTTTTATTTTTCAAGAAGTGGGTAGTAAAGTCAAATCCAGAGTCCTAGCAATGAAAAGAAAAGTAAATGGATAATAACATATTTGGTTCACAGAATGAAGGCAACTGGAGGAGGGCCTGTAAGTAATAAAACCATCTCTCATCCTGGTCAACTGTTTTCAGGAAGCATGAGTGAATGAATCAATTACCCTGGAAGATATGATCAGGGAGGTAGGGTCTTCTCCAGGGAAGGATATTTCTAAATAAAGAATTAAGTGAAAAGTGTATGAGGTAAAGAGGTCTAGGTTTAAGAAGAGTTTATTAGCTATGGAGCACGTGGGAACAATGGAATGGGAACTTCTAGGAGGGTAACAATTGTGGAGTAGAACTGTGATGAGAGGATGCAAGCCACTGAGCCTTGTCTGATCCAGGCACAGGCAACTGACATACTGAATACATTCCTTAAGAAACCTTTAGAAACTTTCTTTAAGAAACCTGTAAGGCTTTCCTCAGGCATCAGAGAACTGTCTTAGTTACTACTGGGAGATAAAGTACTTTATTCTTTCTGAGGTGACTATGATACAGATGGTCTTTAAATGAGCTTTTTATGCCCTCTTTTATGATTGCAGCTTCATGTTTACATACATTTCCTGAGATCTAAGGCCTTTAGGATTTAATAGGATTGTGAAACCATTAGAAATTATCCACTCAGTTTCCATTTCTAGATGTGGAAGTAGGCCCCAGTCTGAAGTGATCTGTCTAAGGCCATACATATACCATCCCTCCCAATACCTTGACTCTTTAGGTATTTTAGAATATGTTTTGTGAAAACTAAGACTTGTAAGGTATCTTCCTTCATATTTCCATCAGGGGGATTTGTGCTTCTTATTGAACACAGTTTTGATGCCCAGAAGGGCATTTAACACTTGGTTAAATACCAGTGTTCATTGGGAGGTAACACTTGTGGTGGGAGTTATCAATCACTTTTTCCAAGTTTCAGTCATTAACAGAAGCAAAGAACCTGCAGATTTGACTATCAGAGCCCCTAGATAGGTTTACAGGGAAGTTAAAGAACTTTTCTGTCCATTGCTCAAGCCTAAGGGTACTTGGTTGTTTTGTTTTGTTTTATTTTGTTTTCCACCTAAAGAAAGGTTAAGGGAAGTTCAGGACCTCATTAATACTCCAAATTAAAGTGGTGTCATTAGAAAGAAGAATGATGGTACCTTAAAACCCCAAAATAAATTGTATGGAAAAGTACATCCAAGTCCATTTAGCTGAGCAATGTTATTTTACTAAGGATCCCACTCTATGTACCAGACAGAACCTTCACCTTGGAATTGGAGACAACTTGCTCCAAACCCTGATAAAAAATTCAATTAATCTTTTTTTTCTCTCAGTTTTGTCATCTGTAAATAGAGAATAATATCACGATTATCTACCCTACAAGTATTTACAAATAATCCAGTTTTTGCAAAAATAAAAAAGTGATAAACATTCACCCTTTTACTGCTTAATTTACTGAAATGCATTATATAATTCTTAATTCCTTTAAGCCTGAAAGAATTCCACCATTATTATTACCTCCCTCCTCTCAATAATGAAGTTGGGAAAAAGAAAACTGAGCCTTTAAAGTGCGAAATGTCTTTCACCAGGAAACCAGTAATAAGTGTTGGAAGCAGAACCCAGCCATTCCTAAACACAATCCCAGCATGCACTATGCTGCCTACCTTGACCCCCTGTTCTGAGACTCACACCTCATGTTGCTGACTTTTGCTCCCACCCCTTACCCTGGGCTCCGCCAGCCCCTCTTGTGTACTCACCTGGACAGGCCCTGAAGCAGAGCTTCAGGATGAAAAAGGTGATCCCCCAAGATACCAGTGACTTCAGCATCTAATCTGTAATCCTCAGTTCTTCTATGAAGATCAAGCTGAAGGAAAGAAGTAGAGCTCACCTAGTTGCTCCGTGAAGGGAATGGGGAGGTGCTGTGGGGGAGAATACCTGGCTCCTCTGGGGCACTGTGGTCCAGAAAGTGCAAGTCAGGTCACCCAGAGGTAGGCCTCAGACCTCTAAAGATGAAGCTGCTTTTTTGACTCCCCAGGAAGACTGACTCAAAATCAACTCCTTTTTAGAAACTCCTAAGAACTGAAGCAATTAACCCCAATCAGTGTGAGGTAGTTTCTCCTGACTAGACTCAGCTTCCTGGTGCCTTATTAAGGCTTATGGGAGCCCTTTGGTCTCCTTTCTTGGGAGCAGGTGATTATTAATTTTGGTTTTGGTTTTGTTATTGTTGTTATTGTTTTCTTTTTTTCATGGAATTATTGATAGCCCTTCTCTTCCCTGCCCACAGCTCTTGCTCCCTTGGGTACTGCGGCCAAGAGGTCCTAGTCTTCATTTTGAGTGGTGGTAGGCAGGTCCTTTCATGGAACTGTCACAGGTGTCCTGTATCTAGCTGTCAATTTAGAAAATTGGAAGGTGGAACCTTTAGAGGACCCCTCCAACTTACCCAAGTGCGTTTGTAGTCCCAGACCATTATTCCCTCCCAGTTCCCTGGACTGCCTTGAAAGTTGAAGGTTCCTTTCTGGAGAGTAAAGAAATTCCAGTGATGTCCATAAGTGTGGGGCTGGTGTTGATTCCCTTCTGCCTCTGCAATGACTCTACTTCAATATATTTAAAAAAAAATAGGAGTTGGATGACCCCAAGGAAAATTTATAAGAGTTGTTGTGAGGGTGAATATTATAACCTGGGTAAATGGGGTGTTCAGAAAGGACTATTGCAACATAACTTGAAATATAATATAGTCTTAGATAACTTTAAATCTTCCTTTCTCCCTCAAACCCTGCCCCTCAAGTCTTTGTGGTTCCTTATTTCTTTTCCAAGTAAATCCATCCCTTTACCATCTCTCTGCATTTCTCCATAAACGTCTTTAGACTGTACTGTCTGCTCCTCTCCTTAACTCTAATCTCCTTTTTATCATTACACCCTGATTTCTTTAACTTTTTTCATTACTGTCTCTTGCTGTTCTACCCTTACTGTTTTCATTTCTCAGAATTTACCTTCTCTCACACTAGGCCATATTTTCCCTCTTCCATCCCCTCTGTTTGTTGTCTTTCAAAAGTAAAATGAGGACTTCTACCTTTATTTATAGGTGAAAGATTAGATACTATCACGAGAGCTTCCACCACGTTCTTGAGATTGAACGATCCGATGCAAAGGAGTCACTGGAGTAAAGGAAGACAACATCTAACATAAATACTTTAACCACTCGCTTGCTCCATTTTTACTTGTCCTTCCATACAGACTCATGCTGAAGGGCACTTTGAAATGCCTCAACATGGGTCTCTTCAGTCAAAACACTGGAAGGCACTGGAGATTTTGTGGTTAGATACTGAACCCAAAGATTCATGGATGCATTTCCTAACAGGAAAATTTTCTGCTGTTTTTGTTTTGTTTTGTTTGACTTTCATATGCATATCAGATCAGACTTGTAGTATTCTGTCCACAGCAGTGCTACCTGTGGGATGATAATTGTAATCTCAAAAAAAAAAAATAGAAGACAGTAAGAGGGTCAATGCTGAATTCAGTGAATTCAGCACACTGAGATGGACAAGAAAGCATCCTAAGGTATAGAGGTGAAAGGGAGAGAGACTAGCTTGTCATTTCATTGGCTAAAATGATCAAGATAAGAAAACTCCTCCTACCAATGCAGGTCTACACCTTCCCTGCAAATTCTAGTCTTAGTATGAAGGCAAAGTAAAGGTTGGAATGAATTGTCCAGGATCACACAGCCACTATGTGTCACATGCAAGGCAGGAATCTAGATCTCTCTGGTTTTAGACATAGCATTTTATGTATTTTACAATACGACTTTTATAAATATAATAA